CCGCCTAGTCAAAAACGAGACGCTCACATTCGAGGAATTCACAACGCTTCTTTGTCGAATAGAGGCGTGCTTGAATTCGCGACCTATTGCGCCGCTAAGCGACCATCTCGACGATTACGAACCCTTGACTCCGGGCCATTTCCTAATCGGTTCTGCTATCACAACGACTCCTGAACCATCGTTGCTCAATCTGAAGGAAAGTCGGTTGTCACGATGGCAACGCGTGCGATTAATGACCGAAAAATTCTGGAAACTCTGGCAAAACGAATATGTCAACACACTCCAGCAACGAGTCAAATGGAAGCGCAAACAAGAAATAATAAAGGTCGGTCAGATGGTTCTCTTGCGCAAGCCAGATTTGCCTCCCTGCAAATGGGAGCTCGGGCGCATTACGCAATTACACTCTGGTTCAGATGCATTACCTCGCGTCGTGTCAATAAAAACAGCGTCGTCCGAATTCAAGCGCCCAATCACAAAATTATGTTTATTACCTCTCGATAGCGAGCCAACGAACACTCCATCGGTGTAAAAAAAAAAAAAACCCCCACGCCAAGAAACTCACAAGAATTTATCATCGAATTTGATTCTGTGTTTACTCGAATTTCACCAGTCATCAATTTCGCATTCGCGACGGTATTACGGCTGGAGCTTCGTTGTCGAGCGTTTTCACTAGTTCGAGAGTTCGATCATATTTCGGAATTGCCATTCCAAGGCGGGCGGTATGTTTAAGATCAATATAAATGCAAGATCTTCGTAAATAAATGCAAATAGTTTAAATGAAGAAAACCGCTACGACATAAAGCTCCGCTACACAAGCTAAGCGATCACTCGAAATTCGGCGTCTCGACAACCGCCGCAAACTCTAATGCGCAAGTCGCGACGCCGAATTTCGTCGCTCGATGAGATCGATCGCCGTCGATCGCGAGAGATCGTTTTGAAAGCTTCACTTGTTCTTAAACAGTCGAAACGTTCAGATTATTAATTCCTTCTAAAACGCATCTGAAAATCTTGAGACTAAATTGTCGAACCGCTCTCCGCGATTTCACGAATCCGAGTGCGAATTAACGTCAATTACTTTCGTTGGAATTTGTTCATTTAATTGTTAAAATTTGTGTTAATTAAATGTTATTGCCTGGTTTACCAAAAAATAGACAGTTGCTTTATTTCTCCGTAAGTTCGAACACCAGACATTTTATCTTCAACTCGCTCGTGTTTATAAGCTTTGTTTTTCGACTGTGCTTTGATCGGCTGAATAATATTTTCTGGCCTTGCTGCTACGTATGAGAAACGGTCGCACGAGTTGAACGATTTGTCGAGATAATAATTCGCATAAAGACTTTCAGCTTCAATTCAAAAAGGGATTCCACCCGCGACTCCGTTTGCTGCGCGTTTTTCGTGAAAAACGGTTCCGGTAATCTGTGTCTGCATCGCCGCTAGCATACGTGCGAATTCGACACGAACAGTAAGAGTGTGCACATATTAGCTGCGTTCCGAAATTCACTGCCAGTACTGAAAATCTACAATATACGTAATGTAAACTATAGATTAATAAACTATAGATGTTGCCAGTACTGGCAGTAAATTTCGGAACGCAGCCATTATTTTATTCTCGATTTCACATATAACTTTTTTTAATTCAAAATATATTTTTATTGCTTAACTTATTGCATAAGCTCTGATTTTTTAATACTATATTTAATCTTTTCTTTTTCAAACATTTCAAGATATCGAATTATCAGACACAACTTTGAGACATAATGTATCTAATCTAGATACGATGAAGACACTCCGAATTATCTAAAACGCAAGAGGTCATCAGTTTCGCATGTAACGACAACAACATTTTATTCGATTTACATAATTCCAACAAGCTAAATTTTCAATATACTATATTTAATGAAAAGTATTCCTTTTTGGGCATAAAGCTCAAGTAAATAAATACTTACATTAGTTACCGCGCACTACTGTCAATAAAAATCAAGTCAAATATCTCGTTTTTGAAAATTGAATTAACGGACAGATTAACGTCACATGAAAGATATACCGCGCCTTCATGTTGTTGATGACACCGGAATTCATTGAGGCTATGTTGATTCCAATCCAGCGATCGCTGTTAATCATGAGCACTTGTGGCAAGTAATACATTCTGACAATCACCTATAGCTTTAACCGGCACTCCCGACAAAAATTCGTACACATTATATACTTTTCACGAATAAATCGCGAAGTATTAAAAAAGCTCTGCATTCCGAATTAAAGCGGTAGAAACTGTTACGGCAGCCAGAGAGCGCACAAGTAGCATCGATATATCGACATCTCGATATATCGATATCACAATATTCAACGCTCTGAATATTTTATGTTTATAAAAGTTATATAAAGACTTTCACACGTGACTCTAACTAAAAATCTTAAAATAATTCTCAAAATCATCGATTAAATAATCGATGCAACACTATAAAATCATAATTCTTTTTTTAAAATTATTAATATTTTTTATATATTAATACTTTCAAATATTTTACAGTAATAATCGTGACAATAAGAAAAAATTTCTGCCGAAAAAATGTTTAAAAAAATGTAGTCCATTTTACATAAAAATCAACCAGATATAAAAATTAAAAATAAAACACTTCTTACACTTATAAATTTACAATTTGGCAACAAAAAAATGTTCAAAATATAAATAAAAATAATAGTTATTTACTGCAAATAAGAATGCGAGTTTGTGGGTGGGAATCAAGTAAGAAAACGCAGGATGTAAAAAACTGTAATTATTATTAATCCGTAATAATATGATTATTGACAATGACGCGACTATGTGCACATTAAAACACCTTATAATATATATCCGTATCTTACAAGACCAGCTTTCTTACACTATATACAGTAACTAAATATCATATTAATCATTTTTATTATAATAAAACTATCTATATTTATATTTATTTATATATATATATATATTTCATATTTATATATTTATATATATATATATTTATATTTATATATATATAATATTAAATTTATCATTATTTTTTGTTATTAGAGCTATCGTTATCTCAATATATATATATGCATGTAAGAAACGATTAAAAATTAACCAAATATTTATTCTTTAATATCTGTACAATATAGGCTCTTAAAACTCTGCTTATCACTGAAAAAATGTACAATGTAATGTATGTATGTAAGGTATGAAGGTATATCTGGAAAAATCCTTTCTCGTTCGCGAAATGTTTAACGAATTCTGCGCGCGTTATCGGCTCGTTGAGTGAGCACGACACGTGTCGAAGAACCGCAGAGAAAAGATACGTTTCCGCGATCGATGAGAATTTTACAGCGGCAGCGAACGCGCAAAGATCGCCGACACGCTAAACAATACTTTGTTTGATTTGATTTTTGCGCTGGATAACAAAAACATAAAGAGTTATGACAATAAAGTGGGACGAAACGGTATCGCTAAACTCTCTCACGCTTTCTCGCTCTCACACATATACAATACATTTTCTCGCATTTATACTCTCTCTCCTTATTCCTTTCATGAAATGCAAGATCGCAGCAAAATTTTACCTTGTTTTTAACGCATGCATTCTTGTGTGTATATACTACGTACATGGAAGATATTTAACATCTGATTACAAGGATCTCCATTGGCCCATCCTCAAATCGACAGATTTTGTTTGATATAACATTTGTTGTCTGTGTAACATTTGAATATATAATCAGAAATTGAGAAAATCACTCAAAGTGACGATCGTCCTAAAAGACAATTTAGCTGTAAAATTTTTGTTAAAAAAAATGCAATTTTTTTTCTGTATCATACTTTTCTTTATTTCTATCTTTGGGAAAGCTCTAAAAGTTCGTCGATCGATAATAAGCCATGCTGTGTTACTTTGCTTGTAAAGATGATCAATGATTTTCGTTGGAAGAGCCATTGAAAGTTCTTCAGTACAATCTTGCATTTCTGTTATTCTTTTATTTCTCCACTTTTTTTAATGTGCTCGTCCAAAAAAGTAACTTAAAACCATTTGGAAGATAAGATCCGTACGATAACACAGCCGTTATATAAGCTTCCAATTACAGATTTCTGTGTCTTATACGAGTATGTACAGCTTCTTCTTATCCTGCGCGTTGCGTTACAATTGTGGAATGAAAAAAGAATAATTTTTTAAATATACAAATTTTCCTTTGCACACAAATATAAATAAATATACGATTTATTCGTGAATTTTGTTCGTTATCTCATTTTTACTATACCTTTCATCGCCAATTTTGATTTTAATTGTCTGAACATCTTCAATTTTATTCGATTTTAGTTATAAAAACATTTTCTTCGTCATTACTACAGTCAATATTAGTACTCAATTCTCCAGAATTTTTCACTCCACAATCGACGATGTGCAAGGACCGGGACGAAGGACCTTCTCACGGACGTCGTAACAATTGCACGTTTCGTACGGATCAGCACAATCGATAAAATCTCCCATCGTCGCAGAACTGGACTGATGAAAACTTAAACAATCTCAATCACACATATTGCCCGACAATCTCGCTTATCACGCATTTTACAAAACATGCATCTCGATTGCACGCGATCGATGGAAGATTTAGACGCAGCTAAATTTCCTCGATCAGATGTCACATGCCCTGATTGCTTATTAGTTTCAACCCCTTTTCTCAATATCTTTACGTACCAGCAACTTGAGATATGATAACATAAAAATATAGAAAACATTTCAAAGGTGTTAAAAAAATTAGAACGTCTTTCATATGTACAATTCTTTTCATGTAAAATATAATTTTGTAAAATGTAACTCGATATGTTATATTATAGCTCTTTAGATTTTCTAATTAAATGATAATTTAGATAATGTTAGATAATTTACTCAAATAATTATAATATTTTGTATCTTTAATCAACATATAGAGCAAAAATAATTTGGTTCTTTATGAAAAAATTTTTTTTTATTTTTGAACACGTCTTACTTCTTTCTCAAATATTTGCAATATAATAATAAATATAATATATAATAATATAATAATTTTTTATAATGTATTATAAAATTAGTAACATTATCTAAAGTTGCTGATACTAAAAAAGTGGCGATGGATAGAAAAAAGGATTAAGCACAGGCTTGGTGCAACCCAGTTTTCTCTTTCAAATAATGAGGGGGATGATAATGAGGTGCGTCGCCCCTCAGCCTCGCACAAGAAAAACAAAAAAGAACGAAATATCTTTATCTTATATCTTTACCTTGTGTGTTGTCAAATGTGCACGTGACGCGTGTCAATTCGGTCACATACCGGTACAAAAGATGGCACGCCGCTTCATCAACCATGAGTATTTTATACGCATAACTCTCGTTACCTACGTGGCGAGATTAAAACGACTTCTTAATACAAAAAAAAAAAAAAAAGAAGATATATGTAGATATATATGTAATAATAGTAATAGTAGCGTGCGCTTGTAAATAGTATTTGCTGATAATAATAAACAGAAGGAGGGAAAAAGAGAGAGGGAGAAGAACTGAAAAATCGTCTAAAACCCATTCTTGGGTAACTTACGAAGGAGAATACGTGGTGAATAAATAGCGTCTTATATTGATCGTCATAAATAACTACACGCAGCAGAGCTACAACGTGAAAAGGGATAAAATAGATAATCGTGACGATTAAACGCGCTGGGTACTATAAAAAACTATGTAACAAATCACGCTAGAAACGCGCACTTAATATTTTAGGTATAAAAAAATATAATAAAAAATATCTTCGAACTTCGTGTTTAAATTTACGATAGTATGTGCAAAACTGCACGACGTGAAGCGAAAACAAAAAGAGGAAGAAAGAAAAAACAAAAGATATAAACGTGATTTTTAAGAGCAACGATATATCATAGTACTCTGCAGGTTTCAATTGTCAAACATGAAAAGGTGCGTGTTGGTGTTTCTGTTTCTTTTTTTTTCTTTTCCTTCTTTTCTTTTCGAGCGTGAACCACGCGAAGAGATATGCTCGTATGTCAAAGAATCGTTTTGAAAATAAAAAAAAAAAGAATGCATATATCCCCTTTTTCATTTTACGTCTCGCACCTGGCTGGTACGATCTTCTTGTCACGATATAAATCGATAAGCCGCCGTAATGTTGTATACCCTATAATGTTGTGATTTATTAAAATTCATTATAACTAGCATTTAAAAATCACGACCTAGGCGGTGATTTGAGAAATATGCTTTTTGTACAAGGTAATTTTACGACGCAAGCGGTGTCTCGCTAAGGTGTCAATCGTTGCGTTCGAACACGGGTCTCCTTCTCATCAGGACATCATGAGCTAATACGTTGCACTGCTTTGGAGCTTCTGTGCTCGTTAAGCAACATAATGCGAAGTCGCATCGACGAGCATGAGAAAAATCTTTGAGCGTCACACGTCGATTGATACTCGATAGGAAATCTGTCTGGGCAAGAAACTGTTTCTACAATAAGAAATTGATATAAATATCGCAAGAACATCATCCCTCTATGTTTAAATTGTTATTAAAAAAACAGATAAGTCGAAAAATTACAAGTTTCCAAATTTCCTATGTTAAAAATTTGCAATTTTATCATAGAAATATTACTATTCACTTTTCTGACATATACTTAAAATATGATAAATGGTATGCAAAAAATTTAATGATAAATGATACATAATAAAATTTAATAATAAATGTATTATTTATCTATTAAATTTTTTTTCAAATAAACTTATAAAATTCTTTCTATTCTAATTTTCAAACTACAACCTTTTTGCATCAAATTCATCTCTCAGCTCTCCGACACAAAAGACTTGCAACAAAAAAATTGGAATAAAAATATTTTATAAAATTCAAAAAAATATATTGAATAATATGTAATAAAATAAAAAAAATATTATAAAAAATTTATAATATTGAAATTTTTCTGTCGGAAAGAAAAATTGAGGGACGATACTCTTGTAAATGATGGAAATTTCAAAAACACATTGCGTTTACTCTGAGAACTTATTCACAAAAAACACATGTGACGTATAAAAATAAAAACATTTTTACAATTTCTACACTTCTTTCTTGTGAAATACAACACTTAAAATTTGTATTGGTTTGAAGGATTTATGCTAAAAATTCCAATATCAAGAACTTTAAATGTCTCGATGTAAAAAATAAAAAAATTTTTGAATCTACTACTATGTTCGATCTGATATTATTTTTAAGCTTCTTATTAAAAAATTAAATTTTTGCTCAAAGAAAATTAAAATTTTTAACTTCCAAAGTTTGAGATCTCATAAATAGTTCTTAATTTCGAGCTATGCTTTTTGCGATAGAGATTGAAAATGATGCATAACAAATAGAACCAAATAATGAACAAAGTAATAGATTGAAATTATGTTAAGTTATCAGAGTTGATCAACTAGCTTCTCAGGATCTTTGGGAGAGAACTTATGACGTCTGCGAAAAGAGAAAAGAAATGATTAATATCACGCTGTTATGTTTGCTCTATCCGAGATTGAGTGGTAAAACAATTTGCATTATGAAAAAAAGTGGCTACATAATGAATTTTCGACTGCACAACAAGAAAACGCGTAACGAGAAGACACCTTAACAAGAACCGCAGATACACCCGAAAAAATGCACGTGTTTTTTAGCATTTACGGTAAATTTTGGGCACTTTGTGAAATTTCACTTCACCCTCAGATCATTTACAATAATCAATAATTTATGTTACACTCTTACAACGTTTCTAATGAGTCACTGTCTCAACATTGAACAATATACACCTGTACGTGTGTCTGTGTGCTTGTGTGTAGACGAACGTATTTTACATATACATACGTGATAGGCATCGTCCGAATCATATATGCATACGTAATACACACGCGTACATAGAATCGTCTAAGAAAAAAAAAAGAAGACACTAAATTACTGTATTATACAATTATCATTAATTATCACCTAACTTGGCATCCTTGCGGGAGCGGTGCGGGCGGACACCCCGACGAGCTGTGATTCGCGGACTGAGGCAGCAATGGAATATCGTCCTCTTTGGAAGATTGCTTCTCCGTGCTCGGCGGCCGCTCCTCTTGCTCGGGCCTCGCGTCGCTGGCGGTGGCGACGACGTTGGCGTCAACGACCGGTAAGCGTTCCGTCGCCGTCGCCGTCGTCGTCGTCTCTTGTTGCTCGGCGCTGCCGATCGGCAACGACGCTACCGAGTTCACCATCGTCGTCGTCGTCGTCGCACTACCACTACCACCATCGTCCACACTCGCGCTACTCGCTACCACTGGATCCTTTAGTTCGTAGCCCTCCTGGCAGCGCGTCAGTTTTAACCGGATCGGCGTGACCTTCGCCGAGCGGACGTTCCTCAGGGCGGTGGCGCCGGCGTTCGGATCCGTCGGCTGCTTCTCGTCGACGCCGCCTTGCATCGAGTAGACCCCGGCCTCCTCCTTGGCGGGCTCGGGCGGCGGTGGACCTACTCGGCTGTCCTTGTTGTCCGACGACGCCTGTTGCTGATTGTCATCCTCGTCCCCGGTGGCGACGACGACCGCCGCCGGCGCGTCGCACGGCGCGTCGCTCGTCGTCGAGGAGTTGGCGCCCGGCTTACCCAGTCGAATAATCAGTTTCGGAGGCGCGGCGCCGCCCTCCAGAATCTGCACTCGCGCCTCCTTCTTACTCGACTGCCGCTTCTTCCGCTTGCCGTTCTTGTCGCGCTTGCTCTTCGTCTTCTCGTCGTTCTCGAAGCCCGCCATGATCATCTTGCGGAACTTCATGCTCTCGCGACGGAGCTCCTCCATGCTGGGTGTGCTCGGGATGCTGCTCAGCCGTTTCTTCGGCGGTCTTATTCTGCTGCGATCGTCTTGCGCGTTGCCCATCTCCTGGCCGCCGATTATACTATTGCCGATCTTGATTTTCAGCTTCGGCGGTCCGGTGCTGTTCGCCACCGTGGTGGCGGTCGGTCTCGTTTGCCTACCTCTTCGACGATCACTGACTGCTCCCACCATAAGACCGCGTTTCCTGTCGGAACTTTCCTCTTCACCGGCTATAACATCGAGGAATCCGCCGCTGCCGCCGCCGCTATTGCCGCGTTCCTTCCGCCGTTTCTTCTCCATGTTCGCGTCCACGACCGCCTTGTAGTCTTCGCGGGTTGGTATACTCGTCATCGACGCCACGGCCTTGGGAATGGTGATGACCGTGCGACTCGGATTGATGGGCGGGATGATAATAGGCGCGGAAGCAACGTTGCCGCACGTAGGATCTTTTGTGTTCTGCGAGCAATACTGATGCAACAATTCCTTCTTACGCATGCGACGGAGATTCGACGTGCCTGTGGCAACGGACGCGTTGGTGGCGGTCGGTGTAATGATCACCGGCGCTTGCTGTGCTAACGGTGGCACCGACGAAGCCGGCACATAGTTCGCGTCCAAGAACGGGCCTTTGATTTTAACTTTCAGCTGATTCCTCGAGTCGGTTAGAGAAACTTTGTTCGTGTCGAAGCTGGGTGCGGACGACGGGTCCATCGCTGACGGGTTGCCGAAGTCCGGTTTCGAGCACGGCTCCTCAAAACCGCCGCTCGCGAGCTGCTGCTGCTTACCGGCGACCTTCTTCAGCACACAGCAGTTGCCGTGCAGCAGATTGTTCTCCAGATCGTTGTCCAAATCGTCCATGTCCGGCAAGTTCGGGTCGGCGGACACGCCCGTGAAGGTGCCCAGCAAATGATTGCCGTAGGATTGACCGTGGACCGACGAACTCGGCTGATCCACCGTCGAGTTGTACGTTCGCATATCCACGGGACCCGGCAGCAGCGGCATCACCGTGTTGTCGGTGAACGCCTGATGGCCAGCGCTCGTCTCGGACTTGGCCAGGGCGGCCTGGTGATCGTGATGCGCCGCCGGCGACGAGAGCTTCTTATCGTCGGCGTATTTCTTCGTGGCGTGCAGCGTGGGACTAGATAGGTGAGATTGGATGCCGCCGTCATTCGCCATGCCGCCGAGTGGCTCGCTGCGATTCTTCTCGTTCACGTCGGTGGATTTCTTGCGCTCGCGCATCGTTCGCAGATCTGCGATGTTGGTCTCGTTCGTTGAGTCCTCATCCGAATCAAAATCGTACACAGTGCCGACCAGCTTGTTTTGAATCGAGTCGTCATTGTGCAGCGCGTTCGACAGCATCGCGATCGATGCGTTCTGACTATTCCTGCCGCGTCCTCGTCCTCGACCGCGACCGCGACTTCTGTAACTGGAGTGCTGGTGGGAACTCTTGGCGTTTCTTCCACGGCCACGAGCACTCGGCGCGGTCTTGGTGGTCTCCTGGCGAGGTGATTTTCCCGGCGACTTGCCCTGCAGCGATGTCACCCTGGCGGATGTTCTCGTCGGCTTGGATGGTGATTTTTTGCCGGACGGCGCGCTCTTGTTGTCAACGCTAAGTACCTCCGCCACGTTGTCCACGACTGTCTCGCTGCTGACTTGCGTCTCCGCGACGGTATTTAGGAAGGACGGCGTTACGGCGGGCAAGTTAACCTGCTGCGGAAGCAAAGACGCTGCGTGCGCCGGTGCTGACGGCGGCTCTGAGGCCGGCGGTTGCGTCGGTGTCGATTGTTGCGACTGTGACTGCTGCTGCTGCTGCTGCTGTTGCTGCTGCTGTTGCTGCTGCTGTTGTTGCTGCGGCGGCGCAACCGGTGCCGGCGGTGCGGGCGCCGGCGGCGGCGTGGTCACCTTCGTCGGCGATACCATGGCTGCGGTGAGCGCCATGTTGTGCGACGACGAGGTGAACGCGGCGGTGCACGGCGACGCCTGCATATTGAGCGAGTCCTCGAGCGGCTTCGGCACATGCGGCAGCAGCGGCTGCGGCGCCGGAAATGCGGCGCCGAAGGTCGACGGGAACGGTGACGGATAAGGCAGCGGTGCGGTGCACGACTGCGGCGGGAACAGCGACACCGCTCCGGCGTAAGTGGTTTCTGAATATGGGTGATAAGGCGTCGCGTCCATCGTGCACGGCGGATAAGGAATCGGAGCCACGTTTTTGTAAGGTGGGATAGCTGCGTGTTCTTCCGCAGAAGATGCGGACGTAATAGACGACGATGTGGATCGGCGCGACGGTAAGACCTGACTTTCGGCCCATCGTGTATCCGGCCGGCCGTTCAGCTCGTTGTAAGGTGAGCCGCTCTGCGTGTAATCTTGCCTGATATCCGACGAGACGTCCTCCTTGTCGAGGGCGCGGTCCATCTCGCTGCCCTGGTCGTCCTCCGAGTTCGGCAGGCCGATCAGGTGGCGATTCACCATTTCCATGGGCGTGATCTCGTCGACTATCGGCGCGGGTATTCCAGTGCCGGCCGCGGTTGCTGCCACCTGCTGATCCATCATCGCCAGCGATTGCACGCGCGACGGATCCTGCGCCGTGGCGTGTTGCGCCTCCAAGTGCTGCTGCACGCGTTCCATCGGATGCGTCTGCTGCAATTGCTGCAAATACTGGTCCTGTATATTCATGTTGAGTTGCAAATGCGCGACCAGAGCTGCGTCGGGATTCGCTGCGGGGTCTGGTATCACGGCGCCAATGTCGTTCGGGAACTGATGCGCGGCCGCGGCCGCTGCGGCATAACGGTGATTCTGGTTGTCGATCAGCGTATTCAGGTGTTGCACGTCGTTTGGATTGAAGTTCTCCATGCTCGGCGGCACCCATCTCTCGTCCGCCTCGGCTCTGTCGAGCTTCGCGCGCTCCACCACCGTCACTTTGGCCGTCTCGCGCTCCTCGTTCCCGTATACGTAATGTTGTTCGCTGTTGCTCGAATAGCAGGACTTTCTCTTGTCCTCCATGTGATTCTTGCAGGTGAGATCCTCGGATAACTGTACGGGTTCGGGACGGCTGTTGTTCTTCATTTCAACCGGCTGCACCACCGGCTGTTGTTGCTGTTGCTCCAACACATCCACCTTCTCTTGGAGCAACGGTTGCTGCTCCGCTGGTTTCTCAGTCGGATGAAGAGGCTGCTCTTCTTTCTTCGGAATCTCTTCTTCCGCCGGAACAGATTCCAACTCGAACTGACTAGAATTCGATTTCTTCGATAGCTCCATGCGCAGCTTCTCCACCAAATGCAGCGTTTCGCGCGCGCTGTCCTCCTTCGAGTCCTCTTTGAACCAGAGCTCGTTGTTGAAAGAGAACGAGAGCGGCGCCGTGCCTCGCTCTTCGTCGCGCGGTATGCTAAAGCCGTCGTCGTTCACCATGTCGTCGGTCAGTATGTCCTGATCGAAGTCGAACAGCTCCGACACGCTAGGATCTTTGCTGCCGTGCTGCGGCGAGAAGATGCAACGATTGACGGATTTTCTCCTCTTCTGCTGACATTCTTTCTCGAGCGCCGAGACATCGATAAGCGCGGCCGTAACTTTATCGGATACCGACTTGGAAACGTTGTCGCTAGGTTGTTTGGCGACGTTCTCTTGAATCTCAATCTCAGCCTGCGTCTCGCTCTCGTGTTTCTGTTCCGCCTTCTTCCTTCTATCCGCCGGCTTTTCCTTTGTAATCTCGACGACATCCTTTTTCGAGTCTTCCTTTTCCAGCTTCGCGCTGTCCAACACCGCGACTTCGTCGCTCATGTGATTTTTCACGTCTTCGCTCTTGATAGTCTCCTTCGCGACGGACTTTTCCGCTGTCGCGATCTTGTTCTTGCTCTCCTCGTTGAAGGCGGATCTCTCCATCTTGATCTCTTGAGCGGCAGTTCTGTTTCTCGACAGTTTGTCGAGATGCTCGCGCTTCTCGAGAAGCTTGTCCAGCCCTCTCGAAGATTTCTTCGCGCTGTCCCGTTCCGCCCGTCGCTGCTTCATCTCCTCTTCCAACGTGTTAATCGCATTCTTATTACTCGTCTTCTTTACTCTCTTGTCGTCCATCTTGGGAGTGTTCTCAGTCGCTTTCGGGGATTCCGCGGGTTCCGGAATATTCTTACCGCTAGTCGTGTCGTGTTTGCTGTCTTTCTCAGCTTCCTTGTTCGCCTTCTCCGTTAGTTTCTTCTCCATTTTCTTGATCGATGTCGTTTCCTTGTTACCCTTCTCGTCCTTCGCGGTAACCTCACTGATTGATTTTCGTTTGCGAGTTTCCGACCTCGCTCTGGATGCTGCCGCTCCGCCGCCGTCCTCCTTGCCTCTGGAAGTAGACTGTTGCTGTGTCTGCTTAACAGGTTGACCGGATTTCTTGGTAGACTTGGCCCCAGAAACACCTCGTAGCCCATCATTATCTCGAGACCCACCGAGCACACTTTGGTCAGACTGCTGTGATTGCAGGGATGCCGACTTCTTGGATAGGTCTCTCTGTTCGGTCTTCTTGCCGGCTGACTGCTGTTGCTGTTGGGGCTGTTGTGGTTGTTGCTGTGGCTCCTTGGATATTGCGGTTCTACCTGATTCTTCTCTCTCAGTAGGCGGCGGCTGAAACTCGGGTCCATGCCGCCCGTCGGAAGTTTTAAGCTTCTTATCGGGCAGCTTTTTGAGTTTCCGCCCCGCGAGAGTCTTCTTCTCAGAATCGATCGTCTCGTTCGCAACTCTGTTCACCGTCTGCCGTTTAGTCGCGGCTCTGTTCTTCACCTGATTGCCGGTGTCGCTTTCGGAGGACGTGTTGCTCGTAGTACTCGGGGTGATGGTCGAGGAGGAAGTCGGCTCCTTCACGGCGCTTGACATCTTCTGCGTCGGGCTCTTAGCCACGTCGGAATCGCTGCTGCTCTCCGAGGAGCTGCTACTGCTGCTGCTGCTGCTGCTGTCGCTATTACTCATCAACGGCGACGATGCGCTCTTACCGCTTTCGAGCACCTGTTTCTTTCCCCGTCGCTCCCTCGACGATTCCTCCTTCCTCGCCGGCAGTTCTTCCTTCTTCGGTGAATCCTCTTTCTTAATCTCCTTTTTCTTACCGCTGTCCGGCAACTCCTTCTTCACTTTCACGTCCGTGGTTTCTAGATCCGATGGAGCGGCCTTTGTACCCATGCCGCTCTTGATGTGTTCCGCAGCTTTCTTCGCGGCCTGCCGTTGCGGCACGTAAGCGAGAATCTCCGCGCCATCGCCAAAGTCCTTATCAAAGTCGTAAACGTCGTTATTCTTGACGTCCTTGGGCCCTTTGCTGTCACGCTGTTTCTTACTCGACTTCTCCTTAGTCGGTTTCAGAGGTTCCCCGGGCGACTTCACAAACTCCACGGGCTCGTTTGCAGTGTTCTCTTTCTTACCTTGCGTCCGTTGCATGATCTCCGACGCCTTCTTCGCCGCCTGTCGCTGCGGAACTATTAAAGCGGATGGTATGTACTCCTTCTTCTTACCGCTCTTCACGTTTTCTTTGTTCTTCGTTGACTCGTCCTGATAATCCTGCCTCGTGGCATCCTTACACGTAAAGTTCTTCTGAGTGTTCTTCGATATGTCCGCCGCGGAGAATTCTTTCACCGCGGCTTTCGTGATAAGTATAGCAGAGTGGGAATGATGCTCCTGCGACTCTGAATCGGTATCCGAGTATATGGCAGATCCTACAGATGGTCCGAGGCGAGAACTGGCGTTCGTGCTCAATGGCAGCAATTCGTCGCTTTCGCTACCTGTACTGCCGATCTCCAAACGTCTCAGATTGCGCGATCCGCTGTTCACGGTATCAAACTTGTCGCTCTCGCTGCTATCGTGCAGTTTGGTTCGACTTGACCTATCCGACGCGCTGGCTTTCTTCGATTTCCGCCTAGCGGGAGTCTTGCTCTTCGACATCGTGTTTCCGTCGTCTTCCGTGCTCGATTCTATACTGCCGACCTTCAAACTCTTAGACTTGTTTGTGAATTTGCCGGCCGCCTTGTTCACCGGTTTTGTCGCATCCGTTTCGCTGCTACTCGACGATAGATCATCACTACCGTACAAGCTCTTCCGCCTGACAGAACCGTTGAAGTAGAGCTTCTTACTGGACGCGCCATTGAAGTCCGGCTGTACTTTCTTCTCGTCGCTCGACGCTGGTGTAGGCGACTCGATGCCCGCGATTCGAGCGAGTATTGTTTCGAAATCAAGTGTGTGATCCTCGGCATCGGGATGAGAATACAAACGATCGTATATTGAAGGCCCATGATTGGCCTCGATGACGGCGGCAGTCACCGTCGGCGGTAGTGATGGACCTGATATCACCATTGCCTGCTTGTGAAAGGTCTGCTCGCGCAGTCTCAGGAAACTGCGGCAGAGTTTCTCGCGGCGGCCCACCATGTAGCATAAATTTCGAACACGCTCCAAGTCCTGGCGCAATTGAACAAAAGTACGCATTTTTTCGACGTCCGCCGCTTGACCCTGAGCGCGCGCACCTGCGCTCGATAATTCGCCGCAACGAGGTGCTAACAGTGGTTTGTTATGACCGGCCTAAAATATAACACAAGTTACACACAAATCACATCGGATACAATATTTTTGAATCCGCAAATTTATATATCATCGATGACTTACTCTTCTCTTCAATTTCCAATAGTTATAAATATAAACGATACTGTCGGGATCTATATCCAATTGCTGGGAAGCAATGTCCTTTATGTTTACATGTTTATCAAATTCCGCTTCGATTTCCTGCAACCTAATAAGGAAACAACATATATCACACTCATTTTTCGTGATTTTAAAAGAGATTATCTCTTCGCAAAATTTTTTTGTAAATCATAAGATATATAGTTTTTTTAATATAAAAGTGAACGTTTCTATTATAAAAATATCTATTTTTATATAGCTTAAATATAAAATTTTTTTATATGTTTTATAAATATACGTTAAATCTTTAATATTATAGTCAATATACCTTCAACAGTAATTTTTTATAGTTTTATATCGCACAGTAAATATACTACAATATTGTGCCACATCAACTCTTTAAAGAATGATGGTTCAAATATAATTTTCAATGTTCTTTGAATATTTTATTTAAATAAGCATGTGATTTTTTTAGACACTCTAATATTAGTGTGTTTAAAAATTGTAGTCGCATGCTTATTTAACATAAAATATTCCAAATAATTTATATATGAACCATTCAGTTCCGAAAACAATTAACTGTGCCACATACTTAGCTGCGCGTGCTTGATTTTTTTCTTCAGAAGTCATGTCTTTCCGTTTACGCCGTCTGGATTCACCATCCTCGGAGTCCGATGCTCCTTTTCCACCACCGCTTCCTACGCTACCTCCAACACCGACTTTATCTTTTGTGTTTGTTCTACTGTGCTTTTGACAATACGACTAGAAACATGAAATTATCTGGTTGACTTGCTGCTCTCTCAATTATATGTGATAATTTCGATAAATTTGAATCATGTAAAAAATATATACCCTCAATTTCACGCCGTCGTCTGCCATTTCGTCCTCGATAATTGCCTTCATTTCAAGCCCATATTTAAAAGCACATGTAACGTGATACGCAGTTTTACATGTTTTTATACTGCACTGAATGCAAGCACCCACACGTTCACGGCATAAAACGCAAATTAGGGCCCATCGGCTTTGCTGTAATTCATTATTATACTCGATTAAATGATATTCAAGACAATCATAATAAAGAATAATTCCAAATAAATTTAAAGTATTTAAAATACACATAATGTTGAATACAATTCATAAATTTCTTGTAAGTAAAGATCTGAATTTAAATATTGATCAAATAACACAATTGTAACACTATTATTTACCGGAATACTGGAAATTTTTGTAATTGGCTCCATTCTCTCTACACAACCAATGCTAACTTCGGGAATCCAAAGTGCACACGAGACATGAGCCCACTTCTGACCGCTCCGTGTGCACTTCATTGCACCACCCTTATTAGGGCATAATACACAGTCGGGTCTTTGACTTAACGAACAAGTTCTACATAACCAAGAGCCGTCGGGTATCGAAGTAATGCCGTAACAAGCTTGATGTACACATATATTGCAACAATCACAAAATACCATCTCGTTACCCTCCTCAGAATCCGGCTGTTATAAAAAATTTTTATGTTATAAAATTCAATTCAAATTAAAGTGTATACTAATGTCATATGTGCATAAGCAATGCACAACAGATTATTTATTAATCCTAATAATATGTAAATGAAAACATTACTCACCGATCTGCATACATCACAAATAACATTTTCATCGTACTCAATCCCGAGGCCCTCCTCATTCTTCACGATTGTTTGTATCCTCTCCCAACATCGCACCTCCAACTCTTCCATGACACGTTCCAACTGTGATTCCGTAACCGGCAGCTGTCCAGCCTGGATAATTTTCACACAAAATGACATTAATTAGTTTATACATATTTAAATATGCATAGTACACAGAATGTTATATGTAAATATTTATGTCATCGATAAGAATTTTAATATCAAATTATTACATTATTAAAAATAATATAAAAAGATTATGAAAATGAGAAATAATTGTGATTGTGTTTTTGTCAATTCATTATTTTTCTCTTTTTAGTAGCAAAACCACTCAAGTCTATTAAATATTTTTAATAGACACATTAAAATTTTCACTTTTCACAATAAAATGCAATAAAAAATACAAATAATCATTTAACACATTAAGAAACTCTACTTTTAACTTAAAAATATATTATTTTTAAATTATTTAAACAGAGTATTTATATGAATTTTTACGCACAAATAAAAAATTTATTTTTTAAAAAGATTAATTTTAAAGAAATTATATTGATATTTCTGATTTGATTCATATTCAAAAATAAGCAGTGAATAAGTTGTTATACCTGTGCTCGTTCGCCATTGAATATGTCCAACCAGGCAATGTCGGTATCATCAAGGTCGTAAGCACAGGCTTTCTCTGCTCTTGACGGAGTAGTACTTAAATGATGATCTTCCGTGTTAAAATAATCATCGCGAGATATTCTTACAAACTTTTTAGGCCTGAAAAATGCAAGACAAATGCGTTACAAACATTGCGTTGCACTTCAGTGATTTCAGCGATCAATATTTCAAATACACAACATAAAACAATACGCATTTATGCACTCACAATTTGAAATCAGTTTGCATCTTCAAAGGAGACGTCTGCGTAACAGTAACCATCGGTTCAGGAAGAGAATCTGGATTAACGGGTACTTGAACACCTCTTTCCCACTCCTGTTTCCACTGATCAGTTATAACCCAATATTCGTTTGGACTTAATGGTTCACTGTCCGGCAATTTCATAGCGCTGATCAGGTCTTTACGAAATAACTCCGCTGGAGCCTCCGCAGACGACCGATTGTATATGCTGGGGATCTTGATATCACTGACGGGTCGGGCGGTCCAGGATACCCCCCCTTGGCTGGATGACGCCATCGTTTCTTCCTCTTCTGAGGGCCCCAGGGTCGCTGCCAATGCCGATGAACCAGCGGCAGCTGGGCCCAATCTACATTTGCGCCTCTTAACAGCGCCCGGACAAGACGCCAGATCATTGTCGTTTCTATGCCTCTTGCCTCGTTGTGCCATTCTACTATGCCAAATAAGCTAGTGATACGTGGCACATGCAGGTGAGCTGTGTGCACCCTGAAAGAATTGCATACTTCTTTAGCATTCCTTTCCTCTGCAAATTATGTTTTAAAAAACATTACGAACAAAAATGAACTTACTACATAGTTATCCATATATTTATTATCTGGAAAGCAGATTTTCTTCAGAGCTGAAACATGAAATAAGAGCTTGTTGCATAATTTCAAAGTATTTTACATATTAATAAAGAAATTATACGACAATGTAAATAATTTGATTTGTACGTCAGATAGCAAAATATTTAAATAAGATAATTCTTCAAAATTTTTTTTTTTAATTATGTTGATAGTTTTGAAATATTAAATCAGTCCATCTCATAATATCTAAAATAAGATACAACTTAATTTTATATATAATTTAGCTTTACACTGTTTTTGTTTCATGTATTTATTACACTGTTTTTGTTTCATGTATTTATGCTTTATGTCACATGAAGAATTTACTTTCATCTCATGTAAACAATTCAAGTAAATTTAAAACAAAATACTGTTCATTAGCTTTGCTGAAAAATTATCTTTTATATTTTCACTATAAATCATGATTATTAACATTTCAGAAATTTCTAACCATTATATTTTGATTCGTGACACTCCATAGGCTATAATATCAATGCAACAGAACTAATATCACAAATAGAAAGAAAAAAGGACTAATATTTCAAATAGAAAGAAAAAACTACATACAAGAGTGCTAAAGTAATTAAATAACAAAAGAAATATACATTATTTAAGAGAAAAGTTAAAAAGTTACATAAATTTATAAATGTGCAATAGCCTAGAGAAAAAAAATAATTATAGTTTCTTCAAGATTAGCTCGAAAAGTAAATATAAATGTGACTTATATATGTTGCATTTACCCTTAAATATTGAAAGTTTACTACACAGTTTACTACAAAACAGCAATCGCTGGAGAGGGGGCGGGGTGGGGAGAGGAAACATTCACACTACGCGATTTCTGCATAAAAGGTTAAGGTCAATAACATTTTGGCAATGCAAAAGAGTAGAAAATGGAATAGAAATTGCACACAGCCAGCACACTGAACGGGAACATCGGCCCGACACCCGGTACACGAAGACATTTTCCAATGTACGCGACACTGCGTAGCACATCGTCACCGTTAATTGAGATGCAAGCACGCGAGTGACAGCCGTTCGCGCGCGGCAACATATCGACGCACGTTGTGCGTTCCCGCGGTGGCTGGCTGCGCGCGATCCTCCGCACGCCGTTCCTCTCCGCGAGAAAAGGAAGATAAAGAGGTTATAAAAAACGCAGCTCCGCGGCCGTACGCGCGTGTCGCCGCGATCCTGGTAGCCGCGGGGCGAAGGCCCGTGGACTCGCGCGGCGTTCCGTGGTACGGATGCGTTGCTGCACGGCGACGCGGCACGGTAGCCCAGACGACAATCGCGACGGTCTCGCCGCCGTCCGCGAGCGATTCATGTAAACATTGATGCGGAGAGAATGCGGGGCGGCCGTGATAGCGCACTCACGGATCGCCGCCTCAACGCGCGACAGCGGGGCCACAACATCACACTCACTGCGCGTGTCGATGGTCGTGGGCGGCGTTAAATCTCATTGTATACACGGGGTAGACCACAGGTCGGCACAGTGATGCAATTGCGTACGGCTACGAGAATGCTCACGGCTCCATTACGCTGCTGCTGGTGCTGGTGCTCCTGCTGCTGGCCGACAACATTGACAATACAGATGGCAGCAGCGTCGTCTCCACCACAAGTCTCCCCCGCACACACACACACACTCGGGAATACCATTAAATACCTTATTATTGATCTATTAGCCGGATATATTTCCGCGCGCGAGGCGGCACGTGATCGCGAGCGGGCGTGAAACCGGCCGCGGGGCCGCCGGCGGTCGCCGTGCGTGCTCCCGAGCCGCCGCGAACACGCCGACGGGCTGTCGCCTGTAAGTGCGTAACGGCCTCGTCCTCTCTCTCTCTGTCACGGCAGCCTAACCAACATGTCCTCATTAGCGATTCCAGGCGGGCGGCGCAAGCCAGTCCGTTACTCACTCCGCCGGCGGTTCGCGCGCTAACCCGCGACGGGGCTACTTTCGACGGCCGGCCGCGATACGGCGAACGCTCGTGCTTGATCGCGGTACGCACCAAATCAATAATATATTTACATAAAAGTGAATACTGGCGTTTGGCGCCATCATGCCTGAAAAAATAACTGTGGAAGTACGATGTCACGTGACCGACCCAGCGAGATCTCGCGATGTCGCACAGTCATGAATTACGCAACGATGTGAGATTGGAAGCTGGCCGATGCACGCTCCCATCCGGTCTATAGCCACACGTTGCAAGAATACAAAGAAACGCGTTGCATTTATTATTTCGCCCGATAATCACTGTCCAATAAGAAAAGTTATTCTGCAAGAACGGAAGTGTTAGCTAAAGTCCCTTGAAAATATGCTTTCTCATTGGCTATTGGAACGTTGTATATTGGATGCAATGTAAATCCTTCATAAAGATTTGTATGCATTATTTTCTAGTCTCGTTCTACGTATTCTGTGCGTAAACCGGCGTGAACGCATTGCTACGTATTGCATAGCGTTCGTAGTATCGCTGTAGTATCGCGTATCCTTGTTTTCTGACGTTAAACAAAAAGAACCTTGATAATTTCGACGAAATTAGAAGACTGAATAATCAGATATATTGATTATTTGCAGAACACTGAATAAATAAGAAGAAAAAAATGGAACAGGTAATTATATATACTATATTAACAATGAGATACATGGTATATAGATATATATCTCTTGTATACAATATGGCGGATCTTCGGAAGCTTTGTATATTGAATAACATTGCTACTATGTACACTACATTTTGCAAAATTTTCTCTTATTTGTTAATTAATTATTTTTATATGTATATTCTTTATATTAATTATATTGATATTAGTACATTAGTACATTTTATATAAAAGTATATGGATAATAAGACGATGAATAAGTGGCTTATTATCTTCCAGCAATTATATTTTTATAAAGTTAGAATTTTTGAAAGCGACAAGTATATTGCGTTACACAGTTTAAACGTTTGATTATATTTGGTTACATTATAATTCTTACATCTATGTTCACTTTCGCAGGACTTAAAAACTAAAATCGACCAAGCTTGTCGAACTGCCGAGGAATTTACAAGATTGTATTATGAGACTCTAGACAAAAGGAGATATGTAAGTAGCACTAATACTGTCAAAACATATTTCTGGATTATATGTTTAATCAACTATGTATGCAATTTTAGTTGATCTCAAAACTGTACATGGATTCTGCATCTCTGATATGGAACGGAAATGGAGTAGTAGGCAAAGAGAATATTAAAAAGTTCTGGACAGATCTGCCATCTTCCGAACATACCATTACTGCTCTTGACGCTCAGCCAATTACAGGTAAATGCTAATAATCGCATCACACTCTTGCATTCTTGACTATATAAAAATATTCAGACACATAAAAATATTCGAAAATATTAGATCTCATTTCATCTGTATCTCGATTTTTATGACTTAGATTTTGATAGAATTTCTTGTTTCATCTAAATAAATTTTAAACATTCTCTTATTTTAATATTTGTATCAAGATGATATCTGTGTGTATTTTTTGTTTTACTACTTCACACATCAACTCACAATAATATAAGATACCAAAGGTGTGCTAAATTTTTCTTGTTTACAATATTGTAATGCAAGCACTATAGATGTATATGAAGCATTATATAAATAACTTGCATTGAAATATTATATTTTATGTTCATATAGGTCCAGAAGTAGCCAACCAGTTAACATTTCTAGTCAAAGTCAGCGGGCATGTAAAGTACGAAGAAAAAAGTACCAAGTTGCTTAGTCAAACTTTCCTTATCGCTGCTATGGGTGATAAGTGGAAAATTGTGAGCGACTGTTTCCGAGTACAAGAATTATTAAATAATACTACAAATTAGCGATAACGTAGATAACTAGTCAACCGTTTTACATTGTAATAAAGTTTATAAAATTTTTACTGTAAATACAGTGTATTGAGTAAATATTTTTTTATAAAACCAACAATATATGTGTTGCATTATTTGTTCATGTGACAACAGCACAACAAAATAATATAAACAAGATACAATTTTGAAAATACACATTATTATTGTTTGGGGCAAAATTATGAGTCATTCAACCTAAGGAAAAACAAGATAATTCGATAATTATTTTTATTTTCATTTCAATCTTATATCAATGTATAAAGCAATATTAAAACTTTGTATTAGTGAATCAGTACGTTGGTCGTTTCTTTAGGAGAATAATTTTACATCAAAAAATTAGAAATAAATACAGTTATAAATAGACATAAAATTACTATAATACACAATATATAAAACATTAATTTCAGTATCTCTTTCAATACAATTTCATTCAAATAAACGTCTGGTGACTAAAATTTATTCATATAACTATTATTGTTTCTGTTGAGCATGATTCTTTTGATAAAAGAAAGATAAAAGAGTTTAAGAGAGATTAGTTTATCACAGGTACAAAAAATATATAAAGAAGAAAGGATTGGACCAAAAAATGATACATTTACATGATTAAGATTACTAGTAAATTCAATATATACTACTAGCCGTAACGTATGATATAGGCAGTGTCATAAGAAATAGTTCATCGGTGACTTATTTCTCGTTTCTATTGCATTCTCCTTTAGTGTAAAGCACAAGCCGAATGAAGTATAAGCCTGAAAACCTCCACAAAATCAGTTCGGAGCATTATCGCAACATTAGCTCTACAATCGACCTATTATAAACTACAAAACCTAGCTAACTTATTCTCCGCGGAAATGCATACAGCCGACGCTAACGGACGCATCTGTGTGAAACTTTGTGACATCACGTCATCATAAAACTATCGAAATTTAATACCGTACAATACTTATTAAATCGTACTCGTTTCTTTCCTTTCAAAAATATCTAGGAAATGTAAACGTATATGATACGAATACAAGTATGGAAAAATAAGCGAGTAAATGCAAACAAATGCATGATACTCAAAAATCTCCATTCCATAAGGTAGTACGTAGAGAATACTGTACAGAGAGAGAGAGAGAGAGAGAGAGAGAGAGAGAGAGAGAGAGAGACACGAAGGTCTAGATCGAGGCAGATAGGTGTGTGTGTATATAGATAGAGGCAGGAGGGAGAGGAAGCCAGGAAAACGTCTATACTGCCGGTAGTTGGTGGTGCTCGTACTCAATTTGCATCAAACTATGAAGAGACAGACACCAGCGCCGTCACCCTCTCATCCGC